ATTCCACTGGTCTATGTGTCTGTTTTTGTGTTAATACCGGACTGTCTTGTTGATGACAGCTTTGTAGTAGAGGCTAAAGTCTGGGATGGTGATGCCTCCTGTTTTGGTTTTCTTCTTCAATATTACTTTGGCTATTCGGGATCTTTTATGGTTCCATACAATTTTTAGGACTGTTTGTTCTAGTTTTGAGAAGAATACTAGTGTAATTTTGATTGGATTGCACTGAATGTGTAGATTGCTTTGGGTAGTAATGACATTTTAACAACATTTATTCTTCCAATCCATGAGCATGGAAAGTTTTTCCATTTTTTTGTGTCTTCTTCAATTTTCTTCATAAGTTTTCTATAGTTTTCATCATACAGATCTCTTGTATCATTGGTTAGGTTTATTCCTAGGTATTTTATGGGTTTTTCTGGTGCAGTTGTGTTGTGAATGGGATCGGTTTCTTGATTTCTCTTTCTGTTGCTTCATTATTGGTGTATAAAAATGCAACCAATTTCTGTACATTGATTTTGTACCCTGCAACGTTGCTGAATTCATGGATCAGTTCTACTAGGCTTCTGGTGGATTCTGTCAGGTTTTCTAAGTAGAGTATCATGTCGTCTGCAAAAAGTGAAAGTTTGACTTCTTCTTTGCCAATTCTGATGCCTTTTATTTCCTTTTGTTGTTTGATTGCACTAGGACTTCCAGCACTATATTAAACAACAGTGGTGAGAGTGGACATCCCTGTCGTGTTCCTGATCTCAGGGGGAAAGCTCTCAGTTTTTCCCCGTTGAGGATGATGTTAGCTGAGGGCTTCTCATAGATGGTTTTTATGATGTTTAAGTAAGTTCCTTCTATCCCAACTTTCTCGAGGGTCTTTATTAAGAAGGGATGCTGTATTTTGTCAAATGCTTTTTCTGCATCTATCGACAGGATCATATGGTTTTTATCTTTTCTTTTGTTGATGTGATATATCACACTGATTGATTTGCGAATATTGAACCAGCCCTGTAACCCAGGAATGAATCCCACTTGATCTTGGTGGATGATTCTTTTTATGTGCTGCTGGATTCGATTTGCAAGGATCTTGTTGAGGATTTCTGCATCCATATTCATCAAGGATATTGCCCTATAGTTCTCTTTTTTCGCTGTATCTCTGTCTGGCTTGGGAATCAGAGTGATGCTGGCTTCATAAAATGAGTCCGGAAGTTTTCCTTCGATTTCTCTTTCTTTCTTTCTTTCTTTCTTTCTTTCTTTCTTTCTTTCTTTCTTTCTTTCTTTCTTT